TATTATATATAAATTAATTATATTAGACAATTTCAATATTTTATAAGACTATATTATTTAATATCTACAATATTAAAATAAAGAATTTAATCAATAATAATTTTAAATTTATAAAATTTATAATTTTATACAAATCTTGACTGATTTTTTATGCCTTAATACACACACATATTTTTTAAATTCCCATTTTTAAAAGTTTTTTTTTATTTATTTATTATCTTAAGTAATCAAATTCAGTATGTGAACACTTCGATGTCTGTGAAAGAACAATATATAGTTATATACTATCTAATTTTCCAATATTAGATAGCAAGAACATTAAAATAAATTATAAGAATTTAAATCTGTAAATTCCATGAGAGTAAATTTTAATAAGATTATTTCATTTTTATAAAAAGAATCATTTCCATATCCTACCATATCCTTTGTAGTTTATGATGGCTTCTAAAGGCAGCCATGTTTGACTGTTTTGCCGGCTTGATACATTCAGATGTTCTTGATCTGTGAGTTCTGTATTAAATAAAAGATGACATGCAGGCAAAATCCGTAAACAAACAAACCTGTACTTAAATTGAACGCGTCAAAACCAATCAAGATTTTTTTCCTATCAAATTTTTCTCCGAAATATTATGAAAACAAATGGGAAATATCTAGTAGAAAATGTGTATATACATGGTTTACATATATATATAATAGACACACCCACCCACAAATTTACACACACACACATATATATATAAATCATTCTTCTTATATATTTAGGTCTACACGTAATCGTTTTACTACTATAAATTATTCAATTTAATTTAACTGTAATGTTTTCAATTCATTAAATATTTAAAGTTAACAATTCTACGATGTATCCAGGAAAGAAATGACAAAGGGAAAAAACTATATATATATAATATGTGTGTGTGTATATATATATATATATATCCATAGTATTTCCTAGTTCCTGTTTATTCTGTAGCTACTCTCTTCTACAAGTACAGTACTCCATTTTGTATCTACTCACTTTATTCTATAGGTACTGTACTGTACTGTACTTTCTTTATTCTACAGGTACAGTACTTTATTTTGTAGCTACTCTGTTTACTTAACAAGTACTCTATTGTGAAGACACTGACTTATTTTGTAGGTTCTCTGTTTACTCCGTAAGATACGCAATGTCGCAGGTACCCTTAAATCGTGGGTAGATATTCAGTAACAGAATTTCATTCATAAAAATATATTGTATTTATAGACACGGTTCCTTTTTTCCCGTCTATTGTGATTATTTTAAATGGTCCGACGTTAATTTCGGGGTCGATCTCGGTGGCAGACATAACGAAAATACTTTTCTTGGCAAGAAGATCTCGGTGTAGAGTATTGGCAGAGCGTGACCCGCCGTTCGCATTTTTATGAGGCGAATGCGTTTCTACTCGTCGAGATGAGGCCGAATTAAGGTGGCGAAAGGTGGGGAAGTGGCCTCGAGCGCGGATTTTCTTCCATACTAAAGGAAACTGCCTCGTGGTTTGGCCTTCGTCGTTTTATACCAAAGGAATTGTCACATTAAACCCATCCAGTTTCGAGCTGCCCCTTCTCCCGGGTTTCTTTCCGGGATCCGCGCTGTTATTGCCGTGTAATGTGGGAGAAACTGCGATTTCTGGTGTCGTTAAATCGAATGGAGCGTCGATTTATTTCATATTAACGTGTAAATTATCCGATGTAACGTTCCCGCATATCTTTTTTCTTTCCGGCGGCCATCGATTGTTACGTAACACGTCCGAAATCACGCGAAATCGAATGGATTTTCGATGGGGTCGAACCCTCGTGGGCGTCTCTACGCTCGATTTCTGTCATTGGTCGATACCCGGTACGACATCGCAATACGTAACGTGGCGCTTCCACGTAAATTATGATAATTTTAAGTCGAGTTTCGATTGAATGGGAGCATTGGGCCCTCTGTCTCCCCCCGTTGTGGATCATGGATACGGAAAAAAGGCCCTTTCGGTGCCCGCCAGGTCATTATACTGATATTACAAAACAATTACGACGTTCCCGGAGTGACGTAGATAAGGATCGAGTGCGCTTCCGACCAATCGGATCGTTTGTCTTATTGTTTTCTTAAGGCCTGTGTTCCTGCGCGAGTATTGTTGGAATCGTTAGTTCGGGCAGCAAACCCCGCTAAAGCGTAATTTTATTAATTGCTTCGTTTTAACGTTCCTCCATCGAGAGACGGGGTTGTTTCTAATTACGAACTCGCTTGTCGTAGCATATTTGCATCTAAATACAGTCATCAGTATAGCGAGCACCCGATATAGCGTTGGTCTTGTTATTCTTTACGTATATAGTGAATTAGTAGAGAATATATGCCGAACTCTCGAAGGTTTTTGTTCGATATATCGAGAAGCCACTCGATATAGCGACTTAAGTAATCCAACAGGGGAGTGATCTGTGTTTAAAACAATAGTCTAGAGTTGTCCTAAGGCTTTAAAAAAGGCCTTTAATTTCTGACGAAGAGGGCACGTGGCGTTTNCTTGATCTGTGAGTTCTGTATTAAATAAAAGATGACATGCAGGCAAAATCCGTAAACAAACAAACCTGTACTTAAATTGAACGCGTCAAAACCAATCAAGATTTTTTTCCTATCAAATTTTTCTCCGAAATATTATGAAAACAAATGGGAAATATCTAGTAGAAAATGTGTATATACATGGTTTACATATATATATAATAGACACACCCACCCACAAATTTACACACACACACATATATATATAAATCATTCTTCTTATATATTTAGGTCTACACGTAATCGTTTTACTACTATAAATTATTCAATTTAATTTAACTGTAATGTTTTCAATTCATTAAATATTTAAAGTTAACAATTCTACGATGTATCCAGGAAAGAAATGACAAAGGGAAAAAACTATATATATATAATATGTGTGTGTGTATATATATATATATATATAACACAACAATACATTTTACGATATTATATTTGAGAGAATTCAGTCAAGTATTCAGCATGATTCTTTAATTTGTATTTAAAAGCTAATAATAACAAGTAATTTCAAATTAAAATTTAAAAAAATGTATTATTTTTAATATCTATTATTGTAATTTATTAATTTCAATTAATTTTTATTATAATTAATTAATTGCAATCAATTTCTATTGTAAGTTTGTTAATTTTAATCAATTTCTTATTTCATTAAACATAATTAATTTATTCATCAATTTATTCGCCAATGTGTTACAAAACTATATCACTTTCACTGATTAAATATATTTCATTTGTTTTTTAAATTATGATTATTTGTATTTTACATAAAAAATAATTTTTTAATTAAATAATTGTTACAGTTTAAATACAATTTAAAAATATATATATATACATCGAATAATACGGTTTTAATTTTAATAGAAATTAAAAATAATTATAGATAATAAGTATTTTAATTAAATAAAACGAATTTTTAAACTTTTATGTATATTAAAATATGAATAATTTTATATTTATATTTGATATTTTTGCTAAAAGTTCGATGGTTTATAGCTGCGAATACATTTGTTCTACTGTCAGTATTAGTTATGGAAGTAAATTAATCGTTGACAAATATCTTCCGACACAATTTGACAATGACGAACGAGCAGTGACAAGGGATGCCAGACGCCTGGGGACAACTGCTACATTTATGCGAGAAGTCTATTTGTGAGACACCATACAACAGTGAGTATGTTGTCTATTGTCATGTAAATTGCCTATAGCACAACAATCGATGACTGCGACTTCCGTATCTCCCACTCCCTCTGTCTCTCTTTCTAGCTTCACTTCTATAATGTAATCCTGTGTGTTTGTTCTCATCTTTGCTTATTCTATACTTCTTGGTTAGACTTTTACATGCTGAGATTTGTTATTATCGACTAACTTAAGTTTGTTAAGATGATAAAGAGATCAAACTTTCTCTTTTGTTCGATTTTATGAATAAGATTTTTTTGTTTTATAATGTAAATATTTATTTCTTTCTTTTTTTCTTCTTACAAAACTTTATTTTATAGTTTTAAAATTTAATTTTAATGCAAATCATTTTTAAAAGTAAGCATTGCATTACTTCGTTATTGATTTGAGTTTTAAACAAGTTTATTTTTTTTCCTCTTTCCTGCTTAATTAATGAATATTTTATGAAGTTTTTAAAAAAAAATCCCATTAAATTTTTAAGCAAAAAAAACTTTTTTTAAATAGTTTATAATATTATATATAAGAAAAATCTTTAATTTACGATATCATAAATGAAAGAAGTTAGTAGCCATTTTTTATGGAATATCTCGACGTCGCCATTATTACTTTCACATTCTGAAGGTAGATCGAAATGGAATGGCTAGACTTTCGTTTGCTTTATGATTTCCCAGTTTGTTAGATCATCACAATGTAAGACACTAGGGACAATTTGTCAGCGCCAGAATGTCCCTTTTTGTCTCTAATATAAAATATCGAATTTTCGTCAATGATAGGAGAAATTGGTCAGGAAAACGTTCTACTTCCGTTCGATGATTGATTATTACAGATGGTCTTGCATTCGAACAAGAAAAGAAAATGATTTTTGTAAGAAAATTCTTTTAAACTTGCATTCACATAAATTTATATATATACAGGAAGTTAGAAAAATTATGAGAAAAAATTTAAAATTATTAAAAGATCATTTTAGGCCTATATGTAAAGTCTACAGCTCTTTACACTTTATATATATTATGCGTAAATTTGTTTACATATTCATGCATATAGACTAATGTAAATAATCTGTAATTTATCATCTAGAATATCCTACTGTGAAATTCTCTGACAATCAATTACCTCACAGAAGACAAATTACTGTACATTTAAAAATAACAATATAATTTTGCTATTCTTATATATTAAAAGAGTTTTTTCAATTAGATTATGTTTATTTCTTATAAATCAATTGTTATTTTCAGTTATAAATATTAAAAGTAAATTTTTCAATTATGATAAATTTAGATATTTCAATTTTTAATTTAATATAAACTTCCTGATAGAAATGTTTATTTAGAAATAAATAAATAAAAAATATATTTAAAAATAGTAACAGTAA